AAAGGAAGACTAGGTTTTCTCTTAGGAGTGCTGTCAAGAAAAATAGGTGGTCACTTTAAATTCTCATACAGTTATGAGTGATAATAAAAACGTTTTGTGTATAACCTTGGGTGGGGGGGACACCAACATTCAGGGGTGTCTCCTTTTTGGTATATACTGTAGTTTAATTATCTCCTGCTGATCCCTAGCTCTCTGCTTCAAGCAGCTGGTTCACTCCTTTGCCTCTAGATTATCAGCTCAGATAACTGGCTCTGGAGGAATGTCGATGGATGTTCTTGGCAGATCAAAAGAGACCGTGCCAAATGGGCCCAGCCTCAGACCTGCCAAGTCCCACTCATTTGGATTAACTATGAAGACATCACTCAAGCTGGCAGTGGAAGACTTCCTGATTAAGCAAATGGACAGCATCTTCTGGCTGGCCCTGCATCTTCTTGTGCCTGGACATTGGCAGGCTTTATTTATGGAAAGCTGCTCTCTTGGGGAACGAGTCTGGTGGACATCCAATTCACAACTGTATCCTTTTTACCTCACAGAGAGTTCTGTGCTGGCCATAGCTCCAGTGGGGCTATTGGGGGTTCCGCCACTGTTCTTAAAGGCCCCCTGCTTCTTCCCAAAAGTATTTAAAGGGATCCTTTAAATGCTTTTGAGAAGAAGAGGGTGGTGCACGCCCCCTCCCTCCCTTCCTGCAAGATTTAAAGGGCCCTTCAGCTGATTGACAGGCCACTTGCTCCCTGCCAATCAGCTGGAGGGCCCTTTAAATCTTGAAGAAGGGGAGGGAGAGGGGCATGCACCCCCCTTCGTTATGGCAAACAATGGCAGCCCCCCAGAAATTTTTGTGCCCCACAAGCCACAAAATCCTAGCTACGGGTCGGTTCTGTGTTGTTCAAAAGTTTGCCTTCTCTGTTCTCGGCAGAATGAAAAGTTGTGTTTTGCAGGGGGGTTGTATTTAAAATAGAGGGGAAAATCTTTTAGAATTTGTCGGTTCTGTCTGGTCTCATGGATTAATTAGAGCAGAAATTAATTCAGCCTCTGAAAGCTGCCTTGGAATATTATGCTGGAGGGGGCTCTGAACTGCGGCAATAGGGGCTGGCCAGGCTGCTTATTGACCAGAGCCAAAGCAGCTAGCCCTCCATAGATCCAACCAGTGAAGGGAGGAATAAATGCTCAGTCTCTCTGGCTGGTGTCCAGAGATAGGAGTCTGAAGCAACCCCAAGAAATCCGACCGGGTGCCCCCAAAGGAGACACATTTTGAGTTTAACACTAGATTTCCCTGACCAAGCACCGGAAGTATAGATTTATGGATGATATCCAGTTAGCAAGATTGTTGGGCCGAATTAATCGCAGTCCAGCTGGGCAAGAGATAGCCAAGGGCAACTGGGGGATATTTTGCCAAAGTTGTTGCTGCCACTCCAAGCAGCAACAGTACATATGACACAACTGCTTTGTGGGCCAGAAGGGAACTTGAGCGTGAATTATTATTAGCAGTTTTTCCAGGAGAAAAAGTGGGGCTGTTTGGGGGGCGGGGATGGAGGTTATTATTTGAGGGAAACCACAATTTCGCAATCTATCTCCTTCTATAGAATAAACATGCATGCATAGAAAAGCTTATTTCCAGAATTAAACAGTGGCCCCGGTCACACGGCAAAGTTGCCGTGGGAGAGGCACAGAAGGTGGGCGGATTATCCAGGCACGATCATACCCCAACATCTGGGAAGTGGAGTGCACCCGTGGCTTACCACCGACAATGCGGATTTAAAAACTAGTACCTCCAAGGTACTAGTAAACGTTTGCCACGGGCTGCCTCCAGACACCTGTGGTGTGATCGCGCCGGCGCGCGGCATTCCCCTCTGGTCCCTCATTTACCCGCTGGTGCCGAAGGAAGGACCCGTGGTGTGCCGCCGGCGCATCTGATCACGTAATCGCAGATCAAACTGCGCTGGGGCAATTAGCCACGCCTCCCCCCCCGCGATATCCGGCCCGTGTGCCCGGGGTGCCACTGGATTCAAGATTTCTTCTAAAGGTGCCACTGGATTCAAGATTTCTTCTACTGTCTCCTTCTGTAGTATTCAGGGTAGCTAAAGAATGGTAAAGTGGCAGATTTCCTCTCTGCATCCCAGTGCAGGCATATCTGTAAACAGGGTTGCCAGCCTCCAGGTGGGGCCCGGAGATCTCCCACTTTTACAACTGATCTCCAGCTGACAGAGATCAGCTTCCTGGGAGAAAACTGCTGCTGTGAAGGGTGAACTCTGTGGCATTGTAGCATGCTGAGGTCCCTCCCCTTCCCTCCCCAAACCCTTCCCTCTCCTGGATCCATCCCCAAAGTCTCCAGGTATTTTTCAACCCAGGACCGGCAACCCCTATCTGTAAAATCAGAATTTTTCACATTATCCAGTTTAGTAATGACCAGTGGACATCACATCACTTGGGAGGGGGCAGGTGGGAGGTAACAACGCAGGTTCTTTCCACAGCCTTCGGTCTGGAGATGCCTCACGTCACCCACATGGAAGCTGGCTCTTCATAGCTGTTACAGCAGCCTGCGAGTGATGAGCCTGACAAAACTAGCCATAACAAGCAGTAGCATCTGTGGGAGGTTATTACTGCTAGTGAAAATAATGCAACTCAGGCATGTGAAAGTAAAGTAGTGTTAATGAGAGTGATGAAACTGGTTTGTGGAATGCCCAGCCTGGGCGTTGAGGCCTGCATAACCCTTACCCTACAAGATTTGGGTGGGGCGAGTAGTGAGCTCAGAATATTTCTAGCTCTCATCTGACAACACAGCTCTGTAGTGACGGAGAAGCGGGGTTGTGAGATGTGGGGACCTTGGCGAGATGGTTGTCATGACTGCACTTTTGTGCAAGCTCAGTGGGGGTGCAGAGGGGAGGAGCAGGAGGCTGGGAAGTGACAGCAGCAGACAGCACATGAGCAGGGGTGTGTGGATGCTGTTCCCACACTGCTACTGCTGTCAATGTTCCCTCTAAGCTTTGGAGTCTTGTGAGCAAAAATTCTACTTTGTGAGCTACTGGCATTAAAGCTGTGAGCCAGCGATTTGGCTGCTGTATAAATTAGTTTGCTCTGGAGCCATCCTTCCTGAGCTAAGACAAAAACGTGTGAGCCAGAGGCTAAAAAACTGTGAGCTAGCTCACACTAACTCAGCTTAGAGGGAACACTGGCTGCAATGTACACCTGCCACCTCCAGTTTGGGAAGTCTCTAGAGATTTGAAGGAGGTGCTTGGGGAAAGTGGTGCTGGGGAGAGTAGAGGAAGCTCGGTGGGAATTTAATGCCATTAGGGTTGCTGGTTGCTAGTCACTAGTTCGAAGCCCTCTAGAGGCCCCGGTCATACGGGCCGGAAAATGCGGGGGGGGGGGAGCGTGGCTGTTTGCCCCAGGGCAAAATAACGTGCGGTTGCGCGAGCAGATGTCCCGTGGAGGTCCGGTGGTTAGGGGGGAGGTGCCGATCACAGGACAATCCTGCGGTGCTGCAAAGCAGGGCTGCGGGGCAAACGGAGTTGTGGGTTTTTTAAAAAAAAACTAAAGTGTGCGCATGCTCCGTTGGGTGCTTGTGCACATCTGTGGAGACTTGGGGGGAAAAAAACCTTTTTGCAAGGGGACATGGGCAGGCGCCGGAACTAACATCGGAAACGCGATCAGATGCCCGCCCATACCCCGCGGTTTCCGGAAACTAGTACCTCAGAGGTACTAGTTTTTTACAGCGCATCTTCGGAGTGAAGCCTCGGGTGAGCCACGGGAGCTCTACGCTTCCCAGATGTGGCGGTGAGATCCGCCTATCTTCCGTCTCTCTAGCGTGCCTAATGCTCCGGGTGACCGCAGCCAGAGATAGGTAGGAGTAAGTGGGAAATGGAAGATGTGAGAGGACAAGGAGAGAAAATGGCTCATTCATGCTTGAGGGTGGAGAGGTCTGGCAATCCTGGATTCTGTGTCTCTGTCTGGTCAGGTAACATTCTGGATTAGAGAACCTAAGCTTATATAAATATCTCAAGTTATGGATTTAGCTTGTATTATTTTATTCTTGCTGTTCACTGTTCTTATATTTGCATATCCCTGTGCATTCATTTTAACAAACCTTATTCATTATATTCTGTGATGTTTGGGGAGTTTGGGGACTTCAGTCTGAACCCAGTACTTTGGGCCTCCATTGGCTAGAGCTACCAGAGTAATTGTTTTTGGAACTCAACTCGCAAGTGTCCCACCGCTGTGTTGACTTCTCGATTTAAACCTGGGAGGGCGGGAGACTCTGTCCCTTGGTCTCTGGCTGGCAGGTTAGGAAGGGGACAGGTGGTGGCTTGCTACTCTGGGGTCATGAGGATTCACTCCCCAGCTTTTTGACGTTTGGCTCTTGTATTACCTGTCACCCTTAATGAGTAGGGCTGCCAGATCCCCCCAGGGGGGTGAGGTTTTTCCTGCTCTAGGGGCCCCCGACCCGGCCAGCGGGGCGAACCCCGCCCCTAAAGTGCCTGGATCAGACCGACGTGCCCAGTGCAATGATATCACCTGGAGGTCCAGCAACGTGCCTAGTGTGATGACGTCACTTCTGGGTGACGTCATCACAGCGCATGCACGAAAGTCCCAGGCCAGGAGCTTCTCCCCTCCCTCCCCCGCTGGAAAGAGCTAGGGACCTGGCAACCCTATATAATGAGACCTTTTGACAAACGCAGCATATGGCAAAATACACAGCACAGAAATATTTTAGCAGCTCCCAGAAAGCAGAAAGACCAAAAAAGAAAAGAAAAAGGGATTGTCCTTGGGAGATAGGCTGAGCTGCACTGCAGGCAGAGTAGCACATTTTGCTCACTGCCGTTTGGCCTCTCCACTCTACCTTCAGCCTCTTTGTTCTAGAATAAATAGCAGAGACCCTGGTTTTGAAAACAACATCCTCTTCTGGTCTGTCATTGGATATAGCTGTCCCCCTGCCACCAGGCTTGGCCCTGGAGAGCTTAGGGACTAGGCAACTGCTCTATTAACTCATATTTGTTTTCTTCTAGCTTGTCACAACACAGCTCCGTGCCTGGCCTTTCCTGGTCGGGCTGGGTGTTTTTATGCCCTTCCACTTGGCTCAGACCAAGGCAAAGGAGGTGACTGAAGATGCCGCTTCAGGGCTTAGGATGGACCAAGCAGGGAAAACCCCAGATGAGCATAGAGCACCATCAGTGAACCCAAACTTTTGTGATCTTAGCTTCCACATCCCCTGGTCTGGCAGTGCTTGCACACCAACTGTCCCAGCATCCCCACTAGCCTCTCAGGAAGACCTGGACCATCTGAAGACCCTGTTGGAAGATGCTGGCAGCATCCTAATGAACCTGCAGGCTGCTGCTGCTGTAGAGGCCAGTCAGTCCAGGTATCAGGACATTGTTTCCGAGCTGCTGCCAGGAATAAGAGAGGCCAACTTGGAGTTTCATGAGATCCTGCAGAAGTTCTTGCGGGAACTTGAGGACCACATCCAAGAGGACGATCATCCGCATGTGACAGATGAAAAAAAGAAGTAGGTGCTTTCTTAGAGGAGCTGCTGTTTGCACGACTTGCTGATGAAGGCAAAGGCTGGGGCTTCACAGTAGGGAGTGTGTGGAGAACGGCCATGGCTGATTGGTAGAGCCCTTGCTTTGTATACAGAAGGTTCAGTCTCTGGTTTATCTCCTGTTAAAAGGACTTCAGGTAGTAGGTGATGATCAAGACCTTGCTCAGCCCGAGTCCTTGGACACCAGCTGCAACTCAGAGCAGACAATATGATGCTTGGTAGATGAACGCCTCAGGCTGCTTCCACATGGTTGTTTTGCTCCACCCTTGCTTTCAAACTGGAGTGGGATTTTGAGAGCATTCGCACACCATCATCTTCCAATATGTCTGCTTTCATGGTTTCCCCAGTTTTCTCCAGTGCTTTCCAAATCCACTTTGGTATTATCTTTCTGACAAAATCGTAGTCAAAAGAATTCAGCTGTCGGTTGGACGGGAAGGTACAGATTTCCAGACCTCTCCACCCTGAACAATGAAGGAGCCATTTTCTCTCCCTGTCCCTTCACCAATGTTCCCTCTAAGCTGTGGAGTCTTGTGAGCAAAAATTCTCCTTTGTGAGCTACTGGCATTAAAGTTGTGAGCGAGCGATCTGGCTGCCGCATGAATTAGTTTGCTCTGGAGCCATCCTTCCTGAGCCAGGACAAAAACATGTGAGCCAGAGACTAAAAAACTCTGAGCCAGCTCACACTAACTCAGCTTAGAGGGAACACTGCCCTTCACATCTTCCATTTCCCACCTACCCCTACCTATCACTAGTGGGGTTCCAAAAAACCCAGTAGTTATAACACTATGGCAATATAGCTACTACCACTTTTTCCCAAGCTTTATATTTGTTACATTACATTAAATACATTAAACCCTTCCCCCCAAAAAGGGGGGAGGGACCCCTCTCAAGTTGACTGTGTTAGACAAAGGAAGATGGGTAGCTAATTGGGTCTTATGTGTGTGATTCTGTCTATAAATCCCATCTGTCTCAGTCCCCATCCAAATTGCCCTCCTCCCATGGGTCCTTTGAAATGAAAGTTAAAGATGTCAGGAGATTTGATCATAGCTCTCTGGTGCCTCATCTACTTAAAGCTAGAGTCAGTCCAGTATTTCATCTTAAGCTTGATAACAGTTTGTGTTTGTATGATGAAAATTCAGTGGGTTTGGAGGGGGGAGTTGAAGAGAAAGGGGGGTGACTGACAGCTAGGCTGCTTTTACACAAGTTGGATAATGCACTTTCAATGCACTTTAGCAACTGTTTGCAACTGGATTTCCCTCAGTAAAATCTGCCGCTCATCCCAGGAAGGGTGGGATAAAAATGGTTAGTTAAATGGTACCATGCAGGTGTTCCAGGAAGGAGTCCCAGGTGTAAGGAGCAGCAACTGGTGGAGTCCTTTGAGAAAGCAGTTTTGGGGGGTGGTAGAGTTTGAAAAGTGAGGGCTATGGGCAGGGATAACATAGGAAATTACAGCTGGAAAAGAAGGCGGGACAAGGCTACGGGGAGCTTTAAAAGTAAGAACAAGGAATTTGAGGTGGACACAGAAGGGGATGGGAATAGGGATGCCAGCCTCCAGGTGGGACCTGGGGATCCCCCAGAATTACAGCTCATCTCCAGACTACAGAGATCAGTTCCCCTGGGGAAAATTGAAGCTTTGGACAGTAGACTCTATGGCATTGTACCTCACTGAGGTCCCTGTCCTTCACAGGCTCCACCCCCAGATCTCTAGGAGTTTCCCAACTTGGACCTGGCAACCCTACCCCACCCATGGCCAGGGAGAACCTGGCAACCCTATATGGCAAGCTGGGATTGGATGAGGAGTGTCACATGATCTGAGCCAGGGTCCTCAACCTTGTTGAATTGAGAACCAAAAGGTTAAGAGAAGTCAGAATGTGATGGCCCAATAGTTCTATATCTAAACTTAAAACATAAATGTTACCATATATACAAAAATACATGGATTTATTTCAAATTAGATAAAAACCAGTAGGCCCAAAGAATAGCCTCAAATCAGAATAAAATCATAATAATAATCTTTCCATTTATTAATCGCTCAATCCTGCAGAGCTGCTGGCTCTGAGCGATTTACAGTTACTCAAATACACACGGGGCTAACAATGATTCATATAATTATCCCAGACGCTGAAGGAGTTGTAGGTTGGGAGATTGGATCTTTTCCAGCACCCAGAAGCGCAGCTGCTTATCTTTGTGTCTCAAGGTCTTGAAATGTTGAGTCAAAGGAATGTTCTTTCTTTGTAACCTAATGCAACTTCTGTGTTCACAAATTCGTTTCTTTTCAGTTCTCGTAGTAAAACCTACATACATCAGATCACAAGGACATTGGATTGCATAAATCACAGATTTGGAAGCAAAATTAACAAATTATTTTATGGAATACCTATTCTGTTTGGATGAGTCATTTAAAAAGTCAGAGAGAAGTAGGAGTGTGTGCTTGGTATAAACCAAGCAGAGGCATTTTTCGGGTATTTTCTCAACCAGTTACCGAGTGGGCTACTGATTTGGCTATCCAAAAATTCCCACCCTGAAAAATCCCACAAATATTTAGGATTTTTCGGAACTGCTGGATAGTTGTAGTTAAAGAGCATTTAAAGGCTTTCAGTCCCTTTAAATACCTTCAGAATGAACTCAGCTTGCAGAAGTCATTTAAAGAGACTGTGAGCCCTTTAAATGCCTTTGGAGTTCACTCGCCATGGAGTTGCATGGCTTGGAGAAGGCATTTAAAGGCACCACAATCCTTTTAAATGCATTTTTTTCTTCCATTGGAAACGTAGAACCTTTGCTCTCCTGAAGTTTGTCTTTATACAAAGGATCTGTGAACTTTACTTGAGTTTTCCCTTTGTATCAAGTACTTTTTGATCCTAGCTCTTTAAGAATATATAAGGGTTTGTTGAACTTTAACAAAGATTTAAAACTGTTTGAATTGTTTTGCACAATATAATCTTTCTGCTTGTGTTCGTAATTCATTCACAGAGTGTCTTTATATTGATACAATCTCCTCCCGTCAGCTCTCATTTTGATATACTACCTGGAGGTTGGCAACCCCACTTTTTAAAGACAGGAGATGCAGGAGAAAGAGGGCCAGGAACAGGGCCAGAAGGCAATGAATTAACAGGCTTTCTCCTCCCTAGGACACAGCAATTTTAAAATACAAACAGTTAGTGGCTGGGTTGCAGAACCCGAAGAACACCAGCCAAATTACTACTCAGATGTGAAACCGAAGCTGAGCAATGTGATTTTCCCAGGAGAAACCCCTCGGTATCAGCAATAATCCACTCCGCTGATCCCAGCATTGACACTGCAGGCTTAGTGTACATTTTTCTTCCCTTACAACACGTAATTGTCACATTTTGCTACTCAGCTTGCAGGAGAGAACAGTGTGTGTGGGGGGTGCGGGCTCGTTGCAGAAGGCCTCAACTCATCTGCAGTGCTCTGGGAAGGATGAGGGTACAGTCCACATGTGGGGTATAATCCTTTCCCCACCCCTTCACTGTCTATGAAGCTTGGGCAGGAGAACTTCAGAGCCGTTGTGCTTTAGCGTAATGCTGCACTTAGAACCTGATGTGTTTCTAGACCGGCAGCATCTGCATCCATCCCATTTCTGGCTCAAAGCCTCTTGTGCAGGAATTTTTCATTTGATTCATAGCACCAAGCCCATAGCCAGGATTTTGTGGCTCGTAGGGCAATTTTTTTTTCTGGTGCGGCTGAAGTTCTCAGTGCAGAAAGAAAACCCATTTAGCCAATAGAAAGCTGTTACCAGGACAGATCTCTAAATTGCAAGCTGTCAGCCACTTTAGATGACACTTCTCAGCTGTTGCAAGTGAATCACTTCTGCCAGCCTAAGCAACAAGTCTGATAGCAAGCCGGCAGGTGGGGGTGATGACTTCTATAGTCAAGAAAGCTAACACTTAGGCAGAAAAATGATCTTAAAGGAGACCAGTTTCTTGACACAGAGTTAGAAGGGATCCTAGAGGTCACCTACTCCAACCCCCTTGCTCAGTGCGGGAATTAGTCCACTACAGCGCCCCACTCTGCTTAAAGGAGCACATGCCTTTTGAAAAAAGCATTTACAGGAGAAATTCTTGTGGGGCTGTGTCTTTAAGAAAGGGGCCAGGGCCCCCAAAAGCCCCACAGTAGCACTACATTATTCCTGAAGCCTCTACCACTGCCGTCCCATCCCCTTTCTCCTGGAATATTCTTTCTGCTATGTTAGGTCCCTTTTTGTCTAAACCCTTCCTTTCTAAAGAAATCCTCAGGATCTGAATAAGTTCAGGGGTTACCAGCATTTGTTTTAATGAGAGCTACTTCTGAGAAATGAAAAATATGCCGAGTGACTCCCTCCTTTCCCACCTCAGTGTGGTACCAAGTTAGGTGAAGTAAGTTAGGCTACGTGAGAGAGTGAAAGATTCATTGTCAGCCAGTGAGATTCAAAGCAAAATGGTGACTGGAACCAGAATCTCTCCAGATCCGATCCATGTTTCTAATCACTATGCTGTACTGACCTCAGGACCCTAAGAAGCATTTCTGTGGGCCTAGTATAAACTTGTCATGTGCCTCACTGTCTCATCCCATGATACAGTGTCATGAAAGAAAGATATATTTTATTTCTGAAAAGAAATACATTAAACCAGTGTGTAGTATAGTATTTAAAGATTTAGACTTGGGTGGGAGATCCTGGGTCCAACCCCCTCTCTGCCATGAAAAGCACTTGGGCCAGTTACTCTCTCTCTCTCAGCCTAGCCTACCTCACAGGGTTGTTGTGAGGATAAAATGGAGGTGGGGAGAGAATCACATACAATGTCCTATACACCTTGGAGGAAAGGCAAGACAAAAATATACTTAGTAAATAAACAAATATTGTAGCATTGTCATGGGCTTTCAGCCTGGAATGGGTCCTGTTGCACCCTCTGTCTGTAGCAAAGTGTACTTGTTTCGGGCCCCTATGAGGGGGGTCCTGTCTGGCTCTTCTC